ACGCTCACGCGGCTGTAGGTGACACCCGAGAGCGCGGGGACGTTGAATATGAATTTGAGAAGTTGTCATTACTCCAAAATTTCTGCTTTCTAGATTCAGTGGTCCCCGAGAAAATAATTTCCTCCCCTTCTCGACCCCCTCCCTCCTGATTCTCAAAACTTTATGGGGCCTAACGTGTTACTCACAGGCAGGGGAAGGCTGGATTTAAGTTTTCTTTGTCAATAAGGGACACACCCCTAAATTTCCAGCTTCCTAACTTTTGTGGTCCTCGAATTGAAAATTGCGGACAAGATCCATTGGACACACACGTACACACATATGCACACACATACACAAAAACAGACAACCGCGTGACAGCACGCGTTTTGCGCGGCTCCTGCACTGCACAAGACGCGTGATCGCACCAGCAAATCTGTTGCTTTCTAGCTTAGATTTTTTTTTTGCCTCCGGGATTTAGTTAAGCAAATCCATCATCAGTTTAATGCATAATGAAAACAGAAAAAGGGATAAAAATGCGCATTTTAAGATCTATTGCTTTGAGTACAGTCGGCAGCGCTCGAGATACTCAAAAGGAGAAAACATCACAAATCACCGTTTCGAAGTTGTGACGCAACTGAGAGCTGTTTACCCATTCGTGGTACAAACATTTGTAGAGGCGTTTAAACCAGAAACGCTAGCCTTGAAAGTGAAGTAACAAAATCTCTGAAAAATTGTGCGACGCCGATATTATGGCCTGCGGGGGAGAGCTGCGCAGTACTCTGAATTCGTAAAGTGGCGCAGCAGCAGGAAGTAGCTGAATGTTGCGGACGCTAAATGCAAATTTCTGGAAATTATACGCATTTGATCGGAATGCCCAGGTTAAATGAAATCCAGGCTTTCGCAGACGGGCTTTTATAAGTTATTTCTACTCATAATTGTTCCATTTTCCTAGGCTTTTTACTTGTTTTTTGGATCTTCAGTTTTTATTATGCGTTTTTGCCGTGAAGTGCTAGAGCGCTGCAACAGTGAGCAAAAAGGCATGTTGTAATGATCCTATCAGTGTGTGTGTTTATCTGTCCGGGTGTTTCAACTAGCCAACCACGCAAGCTTTGAAGCTGAGATTTTTGCAGTGCGCTCCCTGGCCAAGTGCCACCCTAGGACCTCGGAATCAACTCCTAAGCCCGTCTAGTTCCCACTTTCGACTACGTGAAATTTTTGGGGGGAAAACTGCTAACTCAGGAATGAGGAAAGCTGGAAAGCTGAAATTTTAGGATAATGTTTCTTACCCATGCATAACTAAAAGATTTCAAATTCAGCTGCCCAGAATTGTCTGGGACTTACGTAAAGCCACGTGGAAATTTTGGCGGGAAAATCACCAACTCGGGATCGAGAAGATCTGGGAGACTTTATTTTTAAGGGGATGTTTCCTATTCATGTGCGACTAAAAAATTAACTCTTCTAGTACGACCTTTTCATAGACCAACGACTTTCTATTTGTCGGGCTACTGAAGTCAACATCTACAGCTGACATGCTACACAGCTGCACAGTTAACTTTCCGAACTTCGAGAGCTAGTATGTCATAGGACTAGCTACTGCGACTCCTTGCGATTTTGCGACAACATGAAAATTGCAAAAACGCATGATCGCACCGGTCTGCCTGGTGCATTTCAGCCTGGGTTTGTTTTTGCTTTCTTTAATTTTTCTTCATAGATTTCGATTCTTTGCTTCCGCTTTCCCTCTTTTCTTTCTTCATAAGCTCAGGTTTTCTTTCACCCACTTTTTATGCGTTTTTGTTGTGCAACTTTATAGCGGCACTATAGCGCTGCTACAGCCAGCAAAAACGCATGTTGTCGAGAGGCTATCTGTGTGTGTTCAGAAGCAAGTGCATTTTGTCACCCGCTTTCATCTCAGCACCCAGGGAAGCTAGGAGGCTGAAGTTTTGGATATATATTCCTGACCCGTGTGTCACCAATACGATGCTACAAAGAAAAGTAGATTAAAACAGACTTGAATTTATGAAGAAAAGGAAAAAAAGCCAATTCAAAGAAGTGAAGCCTGTAACCAAAAGCAAAAAAAGCAAAAGCAAACAAAAACTAAGCTCCTCATCCTTTCCGTTCTTCACCGCTCCGCTCTCTCCTCGAATGCACGTTACTTAGTCAATCGGCAAGGGACCTACGCCATTTAGTCCCAACATCCACTTATCCTAGCCCTCCCCCCCTCCCCCCCTCCCCTACCTTGAACGAAATCCGACACATACCACCACCACTTCCACCTGCCACATTCAAACTGCCGCCATCCGCTGTGGGACAGCCCTACCTGCCGTCGGGAGAAAAGTTTTTTGCAGCTCGTGTATGAGACGGGCCGAGTTGTCGTAATTGCCGAAGCTCAAATACGGATGGCCG